ATTGGTGAGCGTATGAATTGGCAACTAGCAATAAAATGCAACTATGGTGAAGTATTGGTAGGCCTAAAAATTAGTAACTAGCAATACAATGCTACAATGGTGGTGGCATTGGTAGGTCTATGAATTAGTAACCAGCAACAAAATGCAAATATGGTGATGGCATTGGTAGGCATGTGAATTGGTAACTTGCAATAGAATGCAACTATGGTTAAGTATTGGTAGGTCTATGAATTGGTAAATAGCAATACAATGCAACTATGGTGGTGACATTGGTAGGTCTATGAATTTGTAACTAGCAATAAAATGCATATATGATCATGGCATTGGTAGGCATGTGAATTGGTAACTAGCAATATAATGCAACTATGGTGAAGTATTGGTAGGCCTAAAAATTAGTAACTAGCAATACAATGCTACTATGGTGGTGGCATTGGTAGGTCTATGAATTAGTAACCAGCAACAAAATGCAAATATGGTGACGGCATTGGTAGGCATGTGAATTGGTAACTTGCAATAGCGTGCAACTATGGTGAAGTATTGATAGGTCTATGAATTAGTAACTAGCAATACAATGCTATTATGGTGGTGACATTGGTGAGCCTATGAATTGGTAACTAGCAATAAAATGCAACTATAATGATGGCATTGGTAGGCATGTGAATTGGTAACTAGCAATATAATGCAACTATGGTGGTGGCATTGGTAGGTCTATGAATTGGTAACTAGCAATAAAATGCAACTATGATGATGGCATTGGTAGGCATGTGAATTGGTAACTAGCAATAGAATGCAACTGTGGTGAAGTATTGGTAGGTCTATGAATTGGTAACTAGCAATACAATGCTATTATGGTGGTGACATTGGTGAGCCTATGAATTGGTAAGTAGCAATACAATGCAACTATAATGACGGCATTGGTAGGCATGTGAATTGGTAACTAGCAATACAATGCAACTATGGTGGTGACATTGGTGAGCCTATGAATTGGTAACTAGCAATAAAATGCAACTATGGTGAAGTATTGGTAGGCCTAAAAAATAGTAACTAGCAATACAATGCTACTATGATGCTGGCATTGGTAGGCCTATGAAATGGTAACTAGCAATAGAATGCAACTATGGTGAAGTATTGGTAGGCCTATGAATTGATAACTAGCAATAAAATGCAACTATGATTATGGCATTAGTAGGCATGTGAATTGGTAACTAGCAACAAAATGCAACTATGGTGACGGCATTGGTAGGCCTATAAATTAGTAACTAGCAACATAATGCAACTATGGTGACGGCATTGGTAGGCCTAAAAATGAGTAACTAGCAACAAAATGCAAATTTGGTGGTGGCATTAGTAGGTCTATGAATTCGTGACTAGCAATAAAATGCAACTACGATGATAGCATTGGTAGGCATGTGAATTGGTAACTAGCAATAGAATGCAACTATGGTGAAGTATTGGTAGGCCTAAGAATTAGTAACTAGCAATACAATGCTACTATGGTGGTGACATTGGTGAGCCTATGAATTGGTAACTAGCAATAAAATGCAACTATAATGATGGTATTGGTAGGCATGTGAATTGGTAACTAGCAATAGAATGCAACTATGGTGACGGAATTGGTAGGCCTATAAATTAGTAACTAGCAACAAAATGCAACTATGGTGATGACATTGGTAGGCCTATAAATACGTAACCAGCAACAAAATGCAAATTTGGTGGTGGCATTGGTAGGTCTATGAATTGGTAACTAGCAATAAAATGCAACTATGATGATGGCATTGTTAGGCATGTGAATTGGTAACTAGCAATAGAATGCAACTGTGGTGAAGTATTGGTAGGTCTATGAATTGGTAACTAGCAATACAATGCTATTATGGTGGTGACATTGGTGAGCCTATGAATTGGTAGATAGCAATATAATGCAACTATAATGATGGCGTTGGTAGGCATGTGAATTGGTAACTAGCAACAAAATGCAACTATGGTGACGGCATTGGCAGGCCTATAAATTAGTAACAGGCAACAAAATGCAACTATGGTGACGACATTGGTAGGCATGTGAATTGGTAACTTGCAATAGAATGCAACTATGGTGAAGTATTGGTAGGTCTATGAATTGGTAACTAGCAATACAATGCAACTATGGTGGTGACATTGGTAGGTCTATGAATTGGTAACTAGCAATACAATCAATCATTTTTAAAAGAGAAATTGGGTAGTTGAGATTGTGCCAGCTAGTCTACAAAAAACAGAATATCGACTCAAGTTTCCAATCTTCCAGTTTGACTTTGACTTGAAATTGTTGTCTTTACTGTTGATAATATATCATACTTGTTTTTAATGACTTGAGAGGAGGCTTCATGGGGCCCATCCTATAATAGACACTAAATAATGACCTGGAACCAGCCTATATTCAGGAAATGCAAATACACTAAACAATGACCTGGAACCTGCCTATGTTCAAGACATGCAAATACACTAAATAATGACCCAGAACCAGCCTATGCAAATACACAAAATAATGACCTGGAATCAGCCTATATTCAGAACATGCAAATACACTAAATAATGACCTGGAACCTGCCTATATTCAGGGTATGCAAATGCACAAAATAATGACACGGAAACAGCCTATATTCAGGAAATGCAAATACACTAAACAATGACCTGGAACCTGCCTATATTCAGGATGTGCAAATACACTAAATAATGATCCGGAACCTGCCTATATTCAGGACACGCAAATACACTAAACAATGACCTGGAACCTGCCTATATTCATAGTATGCAAAGACACAAAATAATGATCCGGAACCAACCTATATTCAGGACATGCAAATACACTAAAAAATGACCTGGAACCTGCATATATTCAAAACATGCAAATACACTAAATAATGACCTGGAACCAGCCTATATTCAAAACATCCAAATACACTAAATAATGACCTGGAACCAACCTATATCCAGGACATACAAATACACTAAACAATGACCTGGAACCTGCCTATATTCAGGACACACAAAAAAACAAAATAACAACCAAGAACCTGCCTATATTCAGTACATGCAAATACACTATATAATGACCTGGAACGAACCTATATTCAGAACATGGAAAAACACTAAATATAACAACCTGGAACCTGCCTATATTCAAGACATTTTCAAACACATACACATTGCAATCAGCCTCATTTAAGACTTATATTAAACATAAAATAATATCATATAAGTTTTTGAAATTATATACTACTGAGGACCAGCCTTATTCATTAAAGTTATAGTTACCTTAGACCAATGTGGTGACATCTGGTGTCTATTTCACTGTTAAAATCACCATGCATACCATATATTAAAATACAATAAAAAAACACCAGTCTTGAAATTATAATAAATATTTTAATTGTTTTTTGAAATGAAGTAAGTGTAAAGTCTTCTCACAGATTACATCAGTGTCAGATGAAGCATACATAAATACGAGTTCACAGGGAGGGAGTAAATTGACTCCCTAACCTAATGAAAAATGTTTACTGCTACAAAAAAATTGATGTTTTTTTTCTCACAAAACTGGCAACCGGTATAGTTGTACATGGTCTAAATGGATCTACAATGAAAAACTGAGCAAACATGAATCAGTATTCAGTTTAGGGTTACATTGTTTTAACAAACTGACGAATCATGTGATGAATAAACTCAAATATTCAAATTAGGCATTCAGAATTTGACCAATCATATTTGTTCTCTTAATAATCCAATGAAACAGATCCTAACAGATTAATAAAGTTAATTTATTAATTAACATTAACTGTTCTTGTTTTTTAATATCTGCAGTAACCAAACATTTGTACTTATTTTCAAATAAAGTGATACAGTTAATGCTAATTAATAAATGATGAGAAAAAGCATTATTGAAAGAGTAGTTTTGGATTTCCCAAAAACTGAAATGCAAGACTCTTGGTAGGAATGCATAACATATGGCAATGAAAAAAATGAAAATGTTTCCTGTAACAAAACACATGTACACTAAGAAAATAAAGTGTGAGGAAGCCAGACTGGGCAGTGCCATTTCTATGGTTTAGTCTACTTGTGGTATTTTTAAATGCAGTAACTTGTACTCAATTGACATCAATTTTAAAACATTGTTGTCATGGTAAATATCATCAGAAAAACACCTAAATTATTTACATTTAAGACAAAATATTTTGTTGTTCGTAACGTTAGCATTGCTGTGATCCTTTAACCACCTTCCACCCCTAGCTCAGTTAATGGATTAATCCACAGCCACCCAGAGTCATTGGCAGACTCCAACAGTACAGTGATGAGGGGCGGGTGCAATGCTGCAGTTCATCAAGAATCACAAAGCAATATATCTTTATATTGTTCATCACGATGGTAGGGAAGCAACATTAGCTAAGTTCACATATATGGGTATTAACTTAGTGATGTCGTCTCTCTGTATTCTGTGTAGTGATGTCACTAAGAGTCCCAGACACGCATTGTCTCTTTTACTCCACTGACAAAGTAATTTGCGGACTGGACTGTGCTTGCCAACACTATTTGAGAATTCCATGATTGAGTTATCTGAGAAGTCAAGTTCCCTGGCGAGAGCTCTCCAATCTCTTCCATCTCGCCGTGTTGTACAGAGTAATAGTTCTATCTGTCTTTTCTTATCCTCTGCAATGTCTCTAAATAACGTAGTACTGGGCACTGTGAGGTTAATAAATAACAAAATCAAAAGATAAACAAACCACTGCAATAAATGATCAAGTAGTAATATTATAAATTTACTGTATTAACCTAATTACATTAACATAACAATGGTATGTATATACTGTAAAAAACATTGTTTTCGCTTGAAATTTAGGAATGTTTCAGTGAAAATAAAATACAGTGAATTTACATTTTTTCCTATATTTTACATTCAACTTGTCAACAATCAGTGAAAATAAATTCCATGCAAAATACCCAAAAAAGTTATTTCAGCAAAATTTAATTCCAGCTGGAATAAAGTATTTTACAGTAGATGATTGTAGTTGCATTCTAACTATGCAAATTTAAACACATCTTTTCCAGAAAAAACTAAAAACATAAAATGGGATGAAATGATGCTGCTTTAGCTAAAAAAAATGATATATTAAAGATTTAATGGCGTTACTGTGGAAACCGATTTCAATGAATGATGTGACTCTGTTTTCACAAATTCACCGACTCGCATGAGTTTTTGAAATGGTGTCTTTCATAAATTCATTTAGTTTGCAGTATTGTAAATACGAGGGCACTATACTTACATGACATCAGAGGCATTCTGGCACAACCATTGACAGCGCTAACATTATCAGTGTTCGTAAACACGCCGCTGTCACTACCATGGCCTTTACCCATCTCCACATCACGTAATGGAGGACCCTTCACTGGACTCGTTCGACTGAAAAAAATCAATTAATATTCAATTACTTAATTACCTTCAGCCTACTGTAAAATACTTTATTTTCAAATGGAATTTATTTTCGCTGTAAAAAAGAATTTGTGGCAATTTAAAACTAGTGAAAATGCCTTTTTTTCTCTATATTTTACATCCAAACTCAACAAAAATCAGTGAAAATAAACTTCATACAAAATGACATTTCAGCATAAATTAATTCCAGTTAAAAAAAAGTATTTCACAGTATGCATCTATACACCTCGTGTTGTATTGTTTTGTATTTTAAGTTATTGTTTGCATGTGTTTGTTTCAGATGATCATATTGAATAAATGAAACTAAACCTAAACACCTCAGGCAAAAAAAAAAGGTTTTCCTTCTCATCCTGACATGCACGATGACAAAATGCGAAACATGTTTTTTGCTTTATAGTATATCTATTCGATTGTAATTGGCATAGTATTAAATGTTCTTAAAATATGAATAATAAGGCACTTTTTTTGTTTTCTCTTCTATAAGATTTGTCATATAAAGCGCCCTCTAGGTTAATGAATATTTAGCCAAATATTTACCTTGTCAAACAAAATTAGTCGTACCATAGAAGTAATAGAGAGAAACATTTAGACAAAATGTATTCTGTTCAGCTATTCTTTAATATATTTTGAATAGTTAGCTGGAACTCTGATGTAACTGAGTAAAGCAAACCACACTATTGAGTTCAGAAAGTACTCCAACCAATAAGTACAATAGCGCCCTCAACTTACCTTGCTTTGTAATGCTTTTGTTTATTTTTCCATATTTTATATCTTTTGCAAGCAACATATACAAGCAATCCCACGATTACTGCACCCAGCACAGAGCAATATATCGGTACCACGTTACTACTGGAATCATCAACAATGTAGTTTACTGAATCCTCTCCTCCAGTGGTTAGAGTCAATGACACTGATGAGGTCACTGAGTCGATTGAATAAACGCTTTCATCTGCAAAGAATAATGGATCAATGTATATAAGCGTTTTAAAAGTCACACAATACTATATTTCAAGATAATAAATAAATAGCAATCCCACTGAGTAGGGAATGTGAAAGTCGTAACTTCTTTTATTAAAGTTTTTTATGTGAATGTTGAATATTTACTGTTTAACATTAAACAATGTAAATGCCTATTCTGATTAATTATCGAAAAAAAAAATTATCATGGTGTCAATTTCAATGGATAATGTACTCGACACAAACAATGGAGATACTATATGCTCATGGGTGCCTTTCAAAGTTCATTTGAAGAGATAAGGTGAAAAATCAAATACTGCCCTCTATAGAGAATAGTTAACAATTATATATTTTCATTATTTTTGAGCAACCTGGCAATTCCATGACAACGTAATTACAATACTATTATTTGATTTGCATGTTTGTAATTAGATATCGATTGCCACTTTATTACAATATCAAGCAGTGGTGCCAGATTTATTGGTTTCCATGGCGTACAATTAGGACTAATCAGGAATTCAAAAACAAGCATGGATGCAGAGTACTGGAGATGCTACCAACGCTAACAATGTAAATTACAACACAATGCTGAGAATTATGGGGAGTGTACACTAAATAAAAGACAAAAGTTTGAGAAAAGTAACAAAAACGTTCAGGATATCAGATAATATATTGAACACTATTTTGGTAATGAGTCTTTACTATGGCAACCGTTTGTTTGTAATGAATGTATTTTGTACTAGTTTTGTCCTCCATGTGATATATACAATTAAAGTTAGTAACAGAAACTAGATTTATTTCACGTATTTCCGTTTCATTACCAGACCACAAAAGATCAATTACTCTCTAAACAAAATAATTTTGTTGAGTGTCTGTGAACCCAGCAATATTATTATACATATATCAATAAAATGATTTTAAATGAATGAACACTTGAAACAACAAATTTATTACACAGAATTACTATATTACGTTTAGTTAAAATTATTGTATTTACTGTAATATATTTTAACTCATAATATTACCATATTTATTGTAAAATATTTGCACTTTTTTTTCTTCTATATATTTGCACTTAATATTACCAAATTTACTTACATATTGCCAATTACTCATTGTTGAATTTATTGCATACTTCACGTCATTGCAATATGTCTTATTTTGATAGATATACAAACCTCAGTTGCCTACATCAAGCATTACTAATAACATAAATATAGTATTAGTAATACCCAGTACATATGCTTATTAGAACAACAGATCATGCTCAAAAAATCACATTCTTTAGTTTTTGGGCACTTTTATTAGAAATATGCTTCTAATAGTGCAAATATTGTTTTTTTATTTAATAAATTTCAACTTTTAACATACTGTAAAATACTTTATTTTAGCTGGATTTAATTTTCGCTGAATAGACTTTTTTGGTCTTTTGTATGAAATTTATTTTCACTGATTTTTGACAAGTTTAATGTAAAATATACGAAAAAAAGTAAATTCGCTGGATTTTATTTTCACTGAATCATTCCTTCAGCGAAAATAGTGAAAATGAATTCCAAGCGAAAATAAAGCATTCCACAGTACATGCATACATCCCTATAAAGTAGATTCATGGAAAGGTATGTGTAGTTCAAGTTCAAATAGACATCAGCCTTAAAATCATAAATTATGACAAATAAACAGGACAGCGGCAGCAATGCTGATGTAGTGATAATAAATAAAATATATGTCCAAATAGGGTTATAATATCTTCTCATAAATATGTGAACTAATTGATATTCCAAGGTTGAGTTGTTTTTATGGGCAAGTTCAATGTTTTATTATCTGTACACTGTAACACTATCATTCATCTTAACTTGTGCTGAAAAGTTGAGTGCATGATTTTGACTTCATTACATTGCAGTCAGTATTTGAATTTCAATACAAAATTAACGTGGTATCATGTGATATCATGCAATCTTGAATTCAACTTGACCATGACAGTGTCATTATCAGCATGGTATTTTTAGAAACTAATTTGTAAATTTACAGAAATTGGATTAGCAGAAATTCATTTTTAAAATGTTGGTAGAGTGCAATCCTCATACAATTACTTACAATCTGCAATCTGATTAAAATCTAGCGTACAGGCTTTATTTTATTTTATTTTATTCCAAATTTATTAAATTATTATTTATTTTGTTTGAATTTTTTCATCATTTTCATGCCCTACGTACATGTACATTTGTCTCAATGCCCATATAAATTTTGTTCAACAAGATTTCTATCCAGCGAATTTTGCTGACCAATCACAGAGCAGTTTACATGAGTTTTGTTTTACACTAAAATTATCAATCAAAATGGCTGCTGTTAGCGTTTGTACTAGGCATAGAATTATAGATTTGTATGAACCTTACGATTACGAAGTAAGTTTTCAGTTACCTTGATGTTGAAATAATAATCTTTATTGCTCTATGAATAAGTGCACAGTGGATTGAGCTAATCCCAGTACTGTGCAAG